TGTGGAGATGAGGTCTCACCAAGTTGCCCATGCGGGTCTCGAACCCGCGGGCTCAGGCAATTCCCTCATTTCAGCCTCCCAAAGCGCAGGATTACAGGCTGAGCCACCGAGCCCGGCTAGATGCTCACATTTCATTCATTCCTTTCACTCATTCACGGTACACTGCTTAAGAGCATCAACTTTGCATCCGGGTTGCCTGGGTTCTGCCTTTCACTGGACTGTGATGGTGGAGAAGACGCCTAACTAGTACGTTAAATGAGTGCCTCTTGATTTTCTGAGATGCAGCTCAGGTCCCATCTCCTCCAGGAGACCCTCGGGGATTTCCTCCACCCTCTCTGCTCTCTCCTCTGAATTCCTGTAGCCTTTTCTGCCTCAGTGGCTCTTGGAGTATTCCACCCGTGCCCCTCTGTTGAGTTGAGAGCCAGGGCCATGCCTTACCCCTGTGTGTGCTCTCCGTAAGCCTGGGGGAACTTGGGAAGCAGCCTGAGTGAGGACAAGCCCTCCAGGCTTGGAGGAGAGTGCCTGGCTGTCTCAACCCACTCTTCCCCTCCTGAGCCTCCACTGTGAAGTGTGGCTGGAAGACCAGTAAGTTTCGGATTAATAGACTCTAGGACCTCGCTGTGCAGCTGCCTTGTAGAAGGGAGGTCACAAAGTTTCTCATGACTGGACAGTTCCGCGAAGCCAGCAGCCGTTTCTCTAGGGACCAAGGAGGACACCCCCAGGGAAACCCCTCGTGTGAGACTCCCAGTGATGCGTCGGACACTTGGAAGTTTCCTTCCTGTTTCTGGAAGGTGGGAAACACCCAATTACTGACTCTAGTCAGAGGGTGTCTGGGTATTCACTACACTATTCTTTCCATTTTTCTGAATGCTTGAAATTTTCCAAAATAAAAACTGGGGGAAATTTTAAAAAAAACTTAAAAATGTTTATTAGTTTAAAAAAAAAAATATTAGCCAGGTGTGGTGGCTCACATCTGTAATCCCAGCACTGTGGGAGGTGGAAGCAAGAGGATTACCTGAGTCCAGGGGTTCGAGACCAGTCTGGGCAACTTGGTGAGACCTTGTCTCTACAATAAATAAAAAAAATTAGGCCTGGTGCAGTGATTCATTACTATAATCCCAGCACTTTGGGAGGCCATGGTGAGAGGATTGCCTGAGCTCACAGGTTCGAGACCAGCCTGGACAAGTTGGGTAGACCTCATCTCGACAATAAATCAAAAAATTAGTTGGGCATGGTGGCGCATGCCTGTAGTTCCAGCTACTTGGAAGGCTGAGGCCGGAGGATTACCCGAGCCCAGCAAGACAAGGATGCAGTGGCCATGAGGATGCCACTGCACTCCAGTCTGGGCGACAGAGCAAGACTCTGACTCAAAAAAAAAATTACTTTGGGCCAGCACAGTGGCTCACGCCTGTAATCCCAGCACTTTGACAGGCTGAGGCAGGAAGACTGCTTGAGCCTAGGAGTTTGAGACCAGTCTGGGCAACATAGTGAGACCTCGTCTCTACAAAACATCAAAAAATTAGTCAGACATAGTGGTGCGTCTGTAGTCCCAGCTACTCAGGAAGGCGAGGCAGAAGGATTGCCTGAGCCCAGGAGGTAGAGGCTGCAGTGAACTGCAATTGTGTCACTGCCCTCCAGTCTGGGCAACTGAGTGAAAGTCTGACTCAAAAAACCCAAACCAACCTAACAAACGAATATGACTTTGGCTGCTGAGTGAAGACAGATTTGGAGGGGTGTGACCCCATGAAGAATCCATAAAACCCTGATTAAGTACCTCTGCGGTGACAAATGCAGAGCAGACGGTGATGTGAAGGCATCCATCCCTGTGTCCCTAGGGACAGGGCCAGCAGGGGATTAAAGACTATTTGCCAAACATACTTGGAGATGAAGCCTTCCCTGCAGCCCTCACCGGTCTGCCCTGGGGCAGAAAGGCTGCTCACCTGGAGGGGATTCCTGGGCCAGTGCTTTCCCAGCTGTCCCTGCCTGGGTGCCGGGACCCAGAACCATCTTCTGTGAGCCAGAGCCAGGGCTAGAGCGCTCCCACCCAGAGAGCTTATTTTAGCTCCAAAGGGAGAGAGATGAATGGTGCATGAGCGCCATTCCCCCATGTGTTGGCTTGGGCCTTCATCAGAAGTGACAGTCTCATTACCCAACCCCAATTCAGAGGGTAATTAACAGATGGTGTAATTTCCGAGCCTTCTCCGCACCACATGGCTATTAGGTGAGGAGCGAAAGGCCCACGCAGCTCCTGGATCCTCCCAAGCCAGAGTCAGAGGAACTCTGAGCAGTAGAGCCCAGTGGAGGGTGCTAAGCAGCCCTCTATCACTGGAGCGCCCCCAGCCAAGTTCAGAGGAAGGAAGCGCATCTTTGGTCCAAGAGGAAGGCATTTCTCCGAGTCTTGGGTCCTCCTCCTGGCTCCTCTTCATCCTACCTGCCCACCATTGCCGGGAACACAGCCGAACCCTTGAGTCTTGCTGTACTTGAGGTCCCTGGAGAGAAAGAGAAAAGCTGATTTGTCATCCTTGGCGTCCCTGTGTGGTCACACAGGTGCTCCCTAACCCCACTGAGAGTGACACTGTGACTAGGGGGCAGTGCTGGAAGGAAACACCTGTGACTCAGTGCTTTTCAGACTGGGTCCCTCCAGACTTTTGGGTTCCACAGAGCAGCCCAGGGATTTCTTGGCTGGGGGAGTGTGGGGGAGGGGCAAAGCCCTGACCCTCACATCAACCCGGCAGCCCTACTCATTTGCTTTATATTCTCACTTCTGCTTCAGATTTATTTTGAAAAAAAGATTCTACTGCTAAATCCCCCGCTCCCCTTTATTTGAGACAGGGATTCACTCTGTCGCCCAGGCTGGAGTGCAGTGGTACAATCACAGCTCACCACAGCCTCAATCTCCTGGGCTCAGGCGATCCTTTCTGCCTCAGCTTCCCAAATAGCTGGAACCACAGGCATGTGCCACCACGCCTGGCTAGTTTTTCTTTTCTTTATTTTTTTGTAGAGACGGGGTCTTATTTTGTTGCCCAGTCTGATCTCGAACTCCTGACCTCAAGTGATGCTTCCGCCTCAGCCTCCCAAAGTTCTGGGGTTTTAGGCATGAACCACCATGCCCAGCCCTGAATAAACTTTTTGCAAATCATTTACCTTATTCAGTCTTCTCATTTTACAAACGGGAGACTGAGGCACAGAATTTGACCAAGGTCACAAAGGTGGGAAGTGGGATGGGTGACCTGGGGCTAAAGCCCAGGCTTTCCCCTCCCCAGTTCAGCTCCATACTGCCTGACTGGGCTCCTGGCTGGGCTCCAGGGTGTGGCAGGGAGGGCGGTGAGTGGGAGCTTTTGCTGGGTCTCCCTGCACCCACTCTGCCTGGCCCTTCTTGTCTGGACCTCTCTGGGGACTCCTGGAATCACCCACACGGTCTCGAGTGGAAGGTGCGTGGGCCTGTGCTGTGAGGAGGGCCTAGAACCTTGTGCACCGGGCAGGCCTGCTCGCTGGGTCACAGAGCTGCAGCTGGACATTGAAATGGAGGCAGGAGGGGCTAGAGGAAGCCTAGCTACAGCTGGGCGCCTCCCCGCCAGCCTCCAAATCTGCTCGTGTTCCTGTTTCTGTAAACTGGCTTCTACGGGCGCTGGCCCTGAGTTACCCTCCCCTCCCAAAAGCCCAAGTGGGGCCCAGGGTGAGGCAGGGGCCACCCTTCCAGCAGCCGGACCCCAACGCCCCGGGGCGTGGGGCGGGCGAGTCTCAGGAGCTCATTGTGGGGTGTCTCTGTGGGATTCGAGGGGGGCTTCGCAGAGCCGAGCAGGCCCTCTCAGCTCGGTGCGACGGCCCC